TCATTGCAGTCATTTGCGTCAATCGCTTTTAGTCAATCGACACGAAGCTTTTATATCTTTTGGCCATAATTAACTCATTTTGCTATCGTTATTTTTTTGTAGGAAATGTAGTATACCCCACTTAGAGTCTTAGGGGGGGGGGGTAGATCTATCCCCCTAGTAGCAAACTATATCGAGTAGATATCTGTTAGATATCTATTTATCGATATATATATATATATATATATATATCGATTAGATATCTATTTTGACGCAAACATAGATACCTATTAGATATCGATTAATCGAGATACTACGCTATCGGCGAAAAGCGAGGGTAATATGCTACGCGTGGAATCGTTTGCTTAACCCAATGCCATTTTCAATCCCCCATCCATTCAAAAAGCGGTATGGGACGGCCGAAGCGACGGCTTCACTTCATGGAATGTTACGGCATGCGGTCTCTGTTCCAAGATCCAATGCTGTTGCCGTGTTAGATGTTGCGAAGGCCTTTGATTCCGTGAACCATGACACGCGCTTGCGAGCCGCCGTCGCACACGGAGCGCCGCCTCTACTTCTTAATCTCCTATCTTCCTCCTACTCCAGAACTACTACCAATATCTTTGACACTGAGGTCCGATGCCTGCGTGGTGTCCGCCAAGGTGACCCCCTCTCCCCCCTTCTCTTTTCTTGTGCTCTATCTGAAGCTATTTCCTATTCTGATCGGCAGCTTGGCTTCGAGCTGGATGGAGTAACAGTGGACTGCATTGCATATGCAGATGATCTCGTGCTTTTTGCCGAATCGCCTCATCGACTTCAGCAGAGGCTGGATGGTCTAGCCAATGGCCTCTCCCTTGCCGGTTTGGTCCTTAACTCGGCCAAGTGCGTTTCCTTCTACTTACAAGCGCTTGGAAAAGAGAAGAGTACATGCCTCCAACTGTGCAATGTTTCAATCGTCCTCTTTACTTGCCAGGACCGATTGGCCCAGACGCACCGGTTGAGCTGCTAGCCGTATACCAGGGAAGGCAGAAGGGACAGCGGCAGCTGCTCGTACTGCAGGCTCTTTTGAGGAGAGCACTGAATGCAGTCGTCGGCGCTTAGAAAAAGGTACGAGAACTGCCAAGCATGGGACACCAAGGACCCCGTCTCGAATAGCCTCTGTTGAAGTCGATGAGGCGATTCGGCAAAAAGCACGAGATCATCTGCATATGCAATGCAGTCCACTGTTACTCCATCCAGCTCGAAGCCAAGCTGCCGATGAGAATAGGAAATAGCTTCAGATAGAGCACAAGAAAGGAGAAGGGGGGGAGAGGGGGTCACTTTGGCGGACACCACGCAGGCATCGGACCTCAGTGTCAAAGACATTGGTAGTAGTTCTGGAGTAGGAGGAAGATAGGAGATTAAGAAGTAGAGGCGGCGCTCCGTGTGCGACGGCGGCTCGCAAGAGCGTGTCATGGTTCACGGAATCAAAGGCCTTCGCAACATCTAACACGGCCACAGCAATGGATCTTGGAGCAGAGACCGCATGCCGTAACATTCCATGAAGTAAAGCCGTCGCCTCTGCCGTCCCATCCCGCTCCTGAAAACCAAACTGGAAGCGGGCAGTAGGACAGAGGCGTGACCGCCTGTGAGCAGGAATACGGTTTAGTAAACGAGGGATAATGTTGGAGACTGCTATAGGGCGGTACTCCGAAGGAAGATGAGGACGCTGAACCTTGGGGATCAATAAATATCTAACTCTAAGTGGGGTATACTACATTTCTTACAAAAAAATAACGATAGCAAAATGAGTAT